AATGCACATCCAAATTACAATATTATAACATGGAATTATTTTCATAGACAGAATTTATTCAGCTTTCTTTGTATTAGCACATCCTTACGACCACAAACATGGATGCATGTTGCACTGGTTAAGATTTCGTTCAGGTAGACCTCCTGCTGAATTACTATTTCCTGTGTGGTGTTGATGTTGTTCGATGAAACATTGGCCATTTCATTTGTAGGTACTGAAAAGCTGACGACTACTCACATTATCAAATGTCGCGTTGACGCGCATTTTAACGCCTTTTTTACACATTTTTGATAGGGCGACAATGCGACAACGCGATATATTTTTACCTTGAAAAATGTCACATTGTCGCGCTTTGATAAAATAAAAAAGATTACTCAAAGCGCGACAGTGCGACAATGCGACAAATGGCTAAAATGTCCCGTTGTCGCAATGTCGCGCTTTGGTTAATTTTGACACATTTTGCTTGTTTTTTGAAGGGCGACAATGTCCCTTGTAGTATTCCATAGGCTTTGCCGTCCTGAAAGACAAAACTGAAAGACAAAACATAGACCCACACGCCCTGCAACCATAACCGTTCAACCGTCAAATCTGTCATGAGGTCTTAGGTTGACATTGGCTCGACGTTTATTTCAACGGCGCCAGACACGACCACGCCTATGAAGGAAGTGTAAAGTGATTAGGGGCTCATCTGAAAGCATGACCCGTGACCAGCGAGAATTACCTGAGTTTCGACAAATAAGAGGGACATAGAAGGGACATAATTCGTAATGGTCACTGGTGGCACTACGATCGAGCCCAGAAATTCTTAGCCTTGTTCGGCAAGAGTGGAAACTGGACTTATTCAGTCAGTTAATGCCCCTGCCTCGGGAAGATGACTCCTACTAGAAACTAATATCTTTTACAAATTTGGAAATTCTGACTTATTACTTTTGTCGTTGACCTGGAACGTCCCGAGTCGATCATCAACATTTTGTGTTTGTTGGTACCTGTTCAATAGTCCGCTAATCACAGACTGTGAAACATTAAACGTATTGACCACTGCACGCTGACTTCTGTCAGTTTCCAGCATGCCAATAGCAGACGCCGCATCGCTAGTTCAAACACAAACAATGAATTGAATCAAATACATCACAACTGTATGATAAGCAGAATCAATAAGATTGACGGAAATAATGGTCCACTATCGACCTTCCTCGAAACTGTAAAAAGCAGGAATGGCACCCTACACACGTATTTGACACTACTGTGTGAGGCACGTGGAAACTATAGGGTGTGTTTTGGGGTTAGTTTTACAAACATAAAACGTTCTTTTCGTCAACAATTGTCTAAGTTCTAATACTTTGTATTGACAATTATATTTCATGATTCCCTATTTTGTTAAGTGCATTTAATCATTCATTGAACTTATGTAGTTATTATGTACTGATTTTACAACTTAGTTATGTGCGCACTGATTCTGGGTTAACCTCTGCATTTTGATTTATAAACGACCTCGTAACAATAATGCATTGGTTATTAATGTTGGAGAATTGCAATCTAACGTTAAAGGACACTACCGCAGTTATTTTAGTAAATATACATGACAATTAACATGAGCATGTATCTCCATGTATCATGTGTGTCTCTCAGTGTCGAGCTGACAAATTTTAGATTTGGTCACATCTCGACATAGCTTTTGTCGCTTTTACTTAGATATATGTGTTCAATATGATGCACATCAACAACCAAATCTACGTTTTACAAGCATTAGTAGTTATAATAAGACATCATATAGACATGTATAAGTAGGCATTAGAACGGAAACTGGGAAAATTTAAAGTTCACATCAAAGGTATGCGTCATTGGGCAAGTCTCAACGGTCTGGTAAAGATACCGATAACTTCTGACATTTATCCAAACGAAATGCAAACTTTGTCATCCATGTCTCAAAATTAGCTTTTATTCGATCTGGCTGACACCCCGAAGAAGCTGGCTTTTTCAACACAAGTGCAATGGACCTCATCAATAACTCCCTCTGGGCGCCGTTAACCGTCACAATCGACAATAATACAGTTCATCCATGGCACAGGAAATCTAAACTCCTTTAACATAGTTTAGCTAGATTTCCATTCAATTTGTATCTCGAGGGTGATTTGTGGTATTCCTATAAACACTCCAATTATCTCAAAGGGAATATAACATAAGGATGAATTGCACCTTTGACCATATTATCAGTCTATGCCTAAACAAGGAGAGACGTTACTCTGATTTACAAATGCAGATGTACTTAGATACATCTGACGTTACCATAGTGCATAACTACACGTATTCCAGTTAACAAAACATTAATTTGCTTCAGTACACCACATTATATTTTTTGTCATTGTTTGATATTGATATTGATAAAGTAAATGTTAATGGTATTTATTTTGATAATACGTGTATAATGTAATATGGTTGTGTATAAAGTCTACCCATGAAAGGAAATGTAACATAGCATTGTACTATGATATGCACGATGACATTCAAATTTGTAAAAAGAATTTGTGTGTTTCACTGTTCGAATTCCTGAGGCAGCGCATTACTTCAAATTCAGAGTTGCACTCTAAAACCTTTACAGTCAGTAGCAATCGTTTCATATCTCGTACGTACGCGCTATAAGAGAATCACAAATTGGATTCATACCTAACGCGAAGAGACATGTCCATAACTCTGGAAATATTCAGATTACCCTAAGCTGAACCATATGAAAAATATTAACCGGGCATATTTACTGCCCTTGTGGGAAAGTGGTATGTCTTCAGCTTTGGTTCGTTTCTGAGTGATCACCTTTCTTACTTTGGTTGAACTGTAATAGGCCTCGTTCTTGTGCCGGAATTATATAGTGACAGGATTTGTGTCTTTATTATATGGTTGGAAAATAACCTAATTTCGGAGAAATTGATTGACGCAATATTCCCCCCTGACACAGATTATGTGCATTCCAGAGCGTACTGTCAATGACATTATACAACGATGAGAGCATACGTTTTCCAGTAAGTGCAATATAACAAATGTCTTTGTGGCATATCATTGGTCCGTTTATTTTTATTTTTTTGTTGTAAAAGAAATGACTGACCACATGCTTATTACTATTTTTTCAATCTAATTCACGTATATTTGCCAATATCTACCTGCACTAAATGAAATACATAAAACGTCAATGCCAGAGATTTGCCGGTCTCGATCATCCGCCGACTCCAAATAGGCACAAACACATAGCTTAAACGCATCGGGAGACCATCGGTCACTCCGCCACAGGAAGACCGGTATCTGCGAACGTTGCACCTCACCAACCTCCTCCTCACAGTGACGTCATCGGCAGTGAATGCTTTGGGTCGGCGGACGAGCACAGTGACCAGAAGACTTCGGTTAGTAGGTATCACGGCCTACCGACCGTTCAGAGGACATATGTTGACCGCTGAACATCGATGGGCCGGTACAGTGCGACGGTGGCAGCGTCTGGATTGGCAACGCGTGATCTTTACGGACGAAAGCAGGTTCTGATTGTTTACAGTTGATGGCAGACAGCGTTTTAACTGTGGCAGTGGTGAACGGAAAGCTGCTTGCTGCGTCCAAAAAGTCGTTCCTTACGGTAGAGGTGGCGTTATGGTGTGGGGTGGAATTTGTGGAGACCAGACAAACCGTCGTCAATGGAAACGTCAATGCGCAACACTATAGAGATGACCTCCTCCGCCCAGTCGTGTTCTGTACCATCACGACAACGCCTGCCCCCACACAGCTCGTGTCGTAGTGGACTTCCTTGCTAACAACAACGTCAATGTCTTACCTTGGCCGGCATGTTCTCCGGACTTATCACCCATAGAACACCTCTGGGACGTATTGGACAGGCGAGTTAGAGTCCGACCACACCCTCCTGCCAACAGACAAGCGTTGATACAAGCTCTACGAGATGAATGGAACCGCTTGCCACGTGAGTTTGACGTTTTCCGTCCGTCATGTCTTCTATGGAGGCACGGGTGGCCACATTCGGTATTAAAGTGACAAAGTCTGTGTCTGTGACCACTTTCAGTGTTTGAATGCACTGCAGTGACAATCTGGACAACTGATTTTGTTTTTCTGGTGTACAATATTTAACCTCAAAATGTCAGTTTGAGTTGTTCAATGTTTTGTGGAGTTGCTGGTATATTAAATATACTTCACCTCGAACTTTTGTTTTTTTTAGCTTATTAAGTACAATCACAATCTGGTGCAAAGTTTCTTTTGCCGTTCAGTTTAAATATGGATCATGAAAACCAGTGGTAACACCAGGTGTTCGCAAAAAGGGTATGCATGTCCTCCCCTACCGAAAGCGACCGCCACTCACACAATTTTCATAAAAAGAAAGTGTTTGTTTGATATAAAAGGACAAGAAATTAAGACCTCACCAATAAGGAGAATTATAACAAAAACAAAACAAATATACTGGGGTTTTCAGGTGCTTGTTATTTTGTTTCATTTTTAGGGGGTCTAAAATGTAATAATATGTGTGTGCTGTACTTTTGTGGCATAAATTGAATGAAAAATGTTGTATCAAGCATGTTTTTCTACAGCAACGGCAGTGATACGATAATAAGCTTGACTTCAATGTTTCAACATTTCCTAACAGACGTCTGAATCAACCTATTTGTATGGAGGACGTAACGATCTGACGTAGAAGTACTGAATTTGATTCAAGTCTCTCAAACACGACTGCTAGTATCTGCGAGCTATAGTTGTGTTGTGTGTGCCAATTATTTACCTTTGTGTTGACAATGTAAGTTTCACCCAGATATGTTTCACCAAATCTAGAACGAGGCAGAACGTTGGCATCAGACGTGGGCGCATATGCATTGCTCCCCTTTAAAGCTCCGTCTGTCCCATTAAGAAGCTGTTGACAAACGACCTCGATAGGCAAAGACCAGTCCACCAACTAAGCCTGCCAAGAACTCTAGCCCAGTAAAAATTAAGGAATCGAGAGAAGCGAGAAAAGATGACAAATGTAGGCGTTCATATAGAAATGGGTTTTATTCTCTAAAATATTCAATCTATTAAGTTTGATTGTTTGACAAGTTTAATGACCACATTCGAAAGGTTTTAGATAATGCATTTGATTACATCGACACACAACCGTCAGTCCCAGAATATTTAAAGGAAAAATATTGAGATACATTTTCCAGAACACTTTTACATTAATCTAAGTGATGTTTCGCTTACTACACCTCTTTATACATAATTACTTGAAATGGAACTACCAATATTTTATTAAACTAAATCTCAAATATATCTGTTAATCATGAGTATCCATGTCAGGTCATGGTCTAAACAATAGATAAAACAATCCCTGGGTTCTTTCGGATTTGATGTTTGATGCTGTAACTGGCATTGTGACTCGTACCTGCAATTGATGTGAGAAATTTGATTTTGCATGTTTGTTACTGAATTAAAACGACGGTGTATAGGTTCTGATATCGGCTTCATATTTAGAACCTGGATGCACAAATCAGTTTAAAAACGGAATCATTAGTAGATATTGCACTGCTTATCAGTTTTAAATTGTCAAAAATACAACTATTGACTTTTTGTGTTCGATTCTATATCCAAATTAATGCAAACCAAGATAATAATGGATGATTCCGAATATCAATAATAATAGTACTTTCTATTTAGTATAGAGAGTGCAACAACGAAACTGCTGAGGATAGAGTTTTGTTTATTAATACTTTAGTTCGTACTTCATCGACCATTGGAATACATACACATACAGACATCCGTTACTATATAAATGACATCAATTGTAGTAGTAACCAAATCTAAAATTTTGAAAATAAGTTAAAATGACAAACAGCTGCAGGTTGCAATAACGTACGGGCTTTCGGAGAATACATGTACACACATGTAGTGAACTGCAGGTGGATAACAAAGAAAAGAAAACGAGATATCTTGTTTAGACATCGTCGTCCTCTTCCTGTTTGATCATAGTAATACAACCAATGTGTTCAGGCAACGTTTTATAACATTATGATGATCGAGTTGACACTGGATGGTGAATTTTCTTTTCATAATGACGATAGGTGCATTATCGTCCATATTGAAGATTATGACAATGAATCTGACGGAAATGATGTAAAATGGCATGAAATGATTCCTGTATAACAGATGAGTATCATTTATGTACAATGTATATACCCAATATAAACATGTTATCTCAATGTTGAATACACACAAATTTGACAAATGTATATCAAAACTCATCATCTCGGAAATGTTTTTCATAATGAATAGTATAGCAGTACTGACTGATGTCATGGAAAATATATGAGAGGCCGTTTGTATGAAATATTCAACACTCATAAAAGTTCACACAAATGTGCCTAAATAGGCAAACGTCCTCTTTAAGCACGTCTTGGCGTCATGCCATTGTTTGAAGGGTGACCAACGCATGACTCTCTGGCCCCTAACGATTCCTCGGAGCACTATAATGTAAATAACAGTGACCCTGCATTAAAGCAAAAGGTCATTAGAAACATCAACGAAAAACCTTCCATGTCAGAAATTCCGAATATGAACAGAGGGTTCTGTTCCAGCCCTTCGTCCTTGTGTTTCGATGCAAATTCAGACAAAGACCTGACACTCTGCGTAGTAACTATGTTCTTGGATCAATAAAAGCAATTTGTATCACCAGTTTACATGTAAATGCATAGATGTGGTTCCATGGTAATCTCAATAAGGCCCTCCCGGCGGTGTCCCACTGTACAAGTACAATCAATGGTTGGGGACCCTAGAGTTTTACTTTTCGCTGTCTGGCTCTGTTCATTTATTCTTTGATCCACCACCGCGAGTAGTTATTACAACTACTCTAACGTCAGTCATATGATCAAATGACATTTTGTTTAATGCAATAAGTACTGATACCCTTCTTCAGCATTGCTTACGGACACGCTTCGGATTTCAAGAAAATGTAAAAGAATATTATTTATTACTCTTCTGGTTTAACTTGATATCATCTGAAACAGTATTTGAATATTGTCGAAGATGGTGTATTGTTATCATTATATTTCGCTGCCTCAAGATCTTGACATGATACGAAATATCAATTCGCAAAATAATATGTGGTGATTACAAATCTGGTATTTATATGAAGTCGAAAACAATATTGTTTTTTAACGTCCAATATGTCATCAATCTTTAAAGACATTACGTTTCTATTCATTATCAAGAACTAAGACGTCGTTATAACGCCTCGTTTTAACTTGGAATACTTCACAATATGTTTCCATTATTTTCACTTTTACCACAAAGTCTTCACACTACACTCGAGTGGTATCCGTAGGATCAAGAGGAGATCAATCAACTTCTTCATCTGCAATCGTTCGTCTTCTTCTAAGTATTACATGCACAGTGTACCATCCTGCAGTTTTGTTATTTGCATGACAGTTATCAGTAGTTTTGTATGTGTACCCGTGTTGAACCAATAATTGTTGAGGAGAATCCTCCCTGGCAAAGTGCGTCTTGCCAAAGTGTGTACGAGAAAGCCTCAGGATATAATCCAGTGGGCATTTAAAATAGTGATGACGCTGAGGAGAAGGTAGAGATCTCGAGGAAGAAGACCGACGGCGCGACTCTCCAGTCCCATCGATCCGGCTGCAAATAAAATAAAGCAGACTTAGTCATGATTTGATGTGAGTATATCAATATCTTGATGCTTAGTTTAGCAAAGTTAAAGCTTGTCGGTTCAGCAATGTGATGTTTGCTATAGAAACTTGCTGTCAGCAGCAAAATTGAAAAAATCTCTTCGAGTCGTGTCTGGGCTCGGATATTTTGTGTCTAAGAAGATTCATTGTTCGATTGATGTAGAAGGCGCATTTATTTGTAGCCTACGATATAATAGAATGTCAGTCATGAAAGAAATGAGGTGTCAGAGAGCCTAAACTACAATTTCGAGAATAGCCATGATACTCCTAGACTGAGGTGCAATCAAAACATAAATTGGATCAGTTCAGACCAGAATTCATACAATAAAACAATCGGCACAGGCGACTATCAGCAGAATGTTGTAGCTGTTATATTGTGATTGGTCCTCGCACAGCGTGTTCTAAGCCAAGTAGAGGTCATTATAACTATCCGAATATCTTAATGAACATTAGCAGACAACATTAATAAACATGAAACAATAAATGGAACTATATTTAAATAGAACATCCACATAAAGGGCTGTTACATTTAGATAGTTAGAGATACGTATAAAGCTTCCATCTTACCTCTTTTCACGTTATTTGAGCCTGCTGAAATGAGAAATAACAATAAGAAACTAGAGATGCAAATAGTAATACAGACAACTATTTTGTTGAAGATTACATACTAAAGTGGACAATCTATTTTTTCATTATTTCATGGTAATAAGTTCATTTTTGACATGGAACAAATTCATGGAACACGGAGTTGTAACTGGCAAAAACCTAGCAATTCATGAACCAATAGACCAACGGCCCTTTCCTTAAAGCTGATTTGTGAAAATAACCGCCTTACAAACGCTTGCAGCTGTATCACGACGTTAAAATGCGTGTTTGAAGTTTGTCATTAGTTGTACATAAGTTCGCATGTGTACTACATTATAGGCAAAGGACTTATATATTTTTTTCATATTTAACGCGAGGAGATTGTGCCATTTATATCGTAAGATATTTCTCTGTTTCCTCACGGACATCAGTAGAAATAGCGCCAAGTGTCATATACTGTCAAGTAGATTGTGTAGATTGAAGCCTTAAACGTTATGCGGTTATATCCCACGCTCCGTTTCACCAAAGAGATTGACCACGACTATCGAAAGTCATCGTTAAAGTATACAACAATCCTGTTGCTTCGGCTGCTTTATGAATGAGGCCCAGCTTGATACACTGACAGTCGCTGTGCATTATCTTAAAACGGTCATAAACTCACTCACTCCATTGCAGATCTATCTTTTGGTATGGATAGTAAATTGACAGAGAAGATCGTGAATAATAGGGAACGAAAGAGGCAACAGCCAGAAGCCAATCACGTGTCTGTTTTATGAGATTTCCTTTCATGCTTGTATTTCAATGTCCCAGTTTCTATCTATTCCGAAATTGCACTTGTAACGTCACATTCTACAAACAACTGCATCTAGGGATGTCTGCGCTACATTTAAGCTAGTCGTAGTTTCACCAGCTAACACAAGAATTCCATCGAAGATGTATGGATTGTGTGCTATGTCTCGGTTCCACCTTTCTGTCAAACATGACGTTGTGCTTGTTGGCAACCCCACTTAAGTGGTGCTAATACTGTTTTATAATATAGTTTACCAAGTAATTTTATTTTCTTTGGAATATATGAATGTTAAGTGCACATTATGTATAAATCAGATCGATCATGCCCATGTAAATGAATAAAAAATACATAAATCTGTATTGGCAGGCTGCGTTGACATATGTCTCAATAACACATTTTCAACAGGTCGATAATTTTCAAAAGAATTCCTGACTAAAACATATACCTGAGATAGTTAAAGACATACATAAGCAGTTTATTGAATTGATTTCGTCTGGTTTGGTGACTCACACTCACCGTTCATAACGTGAACTTGGACAGATGTGGTTTTCAGCATTTCAGGCGAACGACACACGTATGTCCCCGAATCTGAAGGTCTAGAATTTCTTATTTCCAGTAAACTGCTCCTCCGTTCACTCGGAGGGCCACCAAAAGTCAACACTGATATTCGTGGTTCGTGTGAAAGAAACAGGTCACCATCCTTAAACCACTCCAAGTTATAAGTATTACTTCCAATGAAACTTGCGTTACAAAATAAACCAATATGGTCTCCTTTTTCAACGTACGATGTTCCACTGATATGTATATCTGAAACATAAAAATCTAAATAAACGTTAACCATTAGCCAGTCAGTAACATCTTCAAAAACATGCACACAAAAACATCGTGATATTTACGTTGTTTTAAAGAAAGTTAATATTTCTTTATTTCTGAACAGTGTATCGACTTTCATATTTATCATTAATAGGAGAATAAAAATAAGACATGTTGGGAAGAAATCCACCTTGTGCCATTAAGGAAGTGTATGCCTCGGGTTACGGAGTAGCACACTTCATGGTGCCGAACTATAAATCAAAGAACTAACGTATAATGCCGTTTGCCCAGGTTTCAAAACTAGATGCACTCTATATATCCGATGTACACGGCATTGTAAAAAATATAATTGTGATTGATTTTCGAGGTGAGTTTTTTTTGTAGTTTAAGACAAACATCTACGCTTCAAGATGATAATTAAGCATACCTGGATGTCTTTTAACTGGAACATCTGGAATAAAATCAACAGTGAGTTTAATACGTATTATCGTTTGTAAAGAACAGTTTACTTCAGCTTTCAGCGACTTGAAAGATCATAGTTATGCTACTTATTATGCGCACTTTTGTATATCTGAATGAACATTATTACATGTACGAAGGACACTGTCATTGTTTCTTTCCCAGGATCAACAGTTGAATAGCAGGATGAAATGTTTCTCTACATCCTTCATGTCATTACCAGATAATGGATGACCTGTTTCACTCCTATGATGGCCGTCCGTCAAAAGCAATAAATAGCAAGTAGTGGTTTGGGAGAGGATGTAAAGAAACACAGGCAGAGGCATCCAATATCAAAAGATTTATCACTTTTCATCTGTAACCAAATCGATTGCCGGGTCAACAAAGGACCATACAAGACAAAGCATATGAATGGCTTAGCGTTGATTTGCGTTGCTACTTTGGTGTGTTGTTATAGCTGATGAGGAAGGCACATTCATAGAGGAACAATGCAAACGGTTTGGATCGGGATAGTTCACTCGCCATCGTCCAATAATATAAGAAAAACATTTTGCTCTGCTTGACAGATTTGACAATAACAGTATCATAATGTTGCATATATTATCAACTGATGGCAGAGCTGGATCCATCATCAGACACGAATTCGGGATGAGTGGATTCTGGCAGGGCTACAGGACACACCACAGTCACCTTAAACCCCCCCCCCCCCCCCCCCCCCCCCCCTTTAGTCAGGTTTAGAACTTTTTGACCAGCCCCCGTAGAATTGTAACACTAATTACTATCACAGATATAGTTAGATAATAAATCCTTTTTCCTCGTCATTATCACCACATATATGCTTATCCATCTTCGATAATCGTACGCTAGTGTTTCAAACTGAAATACAATGATTTTACTTTTGTTTCATTTGTGATATGAATTGAATAATATATATATATTTGCTTTTTATCAAATTCGTTTTCATTATAATCTGTGATTGAAGAGGTCTTTTTGTGATACTTTCCTTTGAGTCTCTTTGTAGCAATGATTATCCATAAGGGGGTGATCAATCATCCTTACATTTGACAATTTGATATTTGATGCAGGGACCGTTCATTGGTGCTACATAAAACGTCAAGCGTAACTACAACACTCCAACTGGCTTACGAAGTCTTGGCACTGTAGGTTCTTTTCCGTTCAATATTTAAGAGTCATTTCTCGGAATTATTTGTCACATAATTTACTATATGCAGGGTTCAAATATTCATGTTTGCTAGTTGCTGTATTCATGTTGTGTTTCGGTACATGTATGTATTTGCTAATGTTTAACATGAGTCATTGAGTAACTTTGGTTCAACGCCGCTTTAAACAGTATTTCACTTGTGTCACAGCATGTCGCATAATGTAGGAGAAAGCATACCGCGATGCAAGTCTTAGTCTTTTACCCCTTTGGAAAAAAACCTCGCGCGAATATAGGTTATACATAGCTCATAGGATAGCCCACTATGTTTTGGAGAAAACATAAACATATTTTTTTGGTGGGCTTCCACAATTACAACATTCTGGATGCAAACATGCGGCTGACATAGATCTGAACGTTGGAGATGATGGATCAATATATTCTTCAAATTAGTCCTGTCCTGTATAGGCATGTTCCTCATACTTATTCTGAAGAACCGATATGTCTATATCATAGTGGGATTACTGTTTAGTTTTGACACACACGTGTTACACATAATATGTAAGCATCTGCTTTAAACCCGGGTTTTTGCTTAATTGAAATAATACCACTGTGTTTAAAATGTAATTTATTAGCCATCAAATACTGTTCATACAAAAGGTATTGATCGTCGCTTTATCAGTCAAATAAACAATCTGACAGTTTGAGATCCTTTGAAGGCCGGGTCCCATCATATGTACAATATGTTAATCCATTTGATGGAGATAACATTGAAATGCTCGCGTATGACATGTACACATACATGTGCCTCAAAAGAACTTCCTCATCTGGATATGATTTTTTGGCATTATTTTGAGGATAAGCGGGCAGTGAAATATTGAAATTTCTTAGTTAAGAAGTTGTTCATAGCATCACTGTCACAATACAAACATTAAACCGTTTTCTGGTACATTCATCGATACTTAGTCGAAACTATTATGTGATATAGTATTGATTTATATACAAAATTCTATGTTGTTTTCACACGCCCCTCGGCATCCATGAAAGTACCAACTACCAGGCAATTGGATATTATCATGATGCATAATCAGGTGTATCAAGGTATGTGTCTGTCATTATGTCAATAAGTCCTCCTTGTAAAATGATGCATTCATCAATCTCATATTGATACATGTGATAACTGTTTCTGGTGAAAAATATTTCCCGTCCAGCTTAAAGGTGCGTGTTTGTTTTACCAGATACATTAAGTCAAAGTGTTGACGTATGCAGAATGGGAATTCGATTGTGATGTACTAAGGCCAGGTGTGAGATACATTTTATAATGACACTATCGTCTTTACACAAATGTAAATTACAAGAAATTATCTAAAAAGCGTTCAACCTACCTTTTACTTTTAGATATATATGTTGTCTAAGTTTTTTCTTCCTCATGCTTATTTGGCACTCGTATTTTCCCGTGTCATCCGGGGTGACGTTTTGTATCATTAAGTTCCACTGATTACTCAATGGTACGTGGTCAACGTGAAACCTCATATCTTCCGTCCACGTCCGTGTTCCAATTGTAACAGGGTGAGGATTTGGTACTTTCCTCCACACAATCTGAAAAAATAGAACAAACTTTGATCAATTGTAATACTTTCAAATCGGTTGATTTATCGTGAAGCTTAAGTACAGTCACATCTCTTCAGAATTGTTTTGTGCAACAGTTCAGTCTTTATTTATTCCCATTTTTCGGAATGATTTTGTTTAGATCTTTTTTCCATTTTCGTCTTTGGCAATATGGTAACTATTTAAATGAAAAATTGTCACACCAATGTTTTCAATACAAACCGTTCTGAACCTGTTCACCTAAAGATGCCAGCTTTTCTTGCGAACGGAGATACGAATACCAATAAGTCCCCACTCAAAGAAGCAAGTATTAAAGTTATCCATCAGAAATGTTCACACATGGATGAAAGGGAAGAAACAGCTCCTGTGATATTGGGGTCAGAAACATTTGGCATAAAGTGGAGATTGAGTGGGCAAGGTTGTTTATGTCCATCAAAGTAATGTCTCAAATGGCCTTCAAGTAGCCGAGATCAACTTTGTGCATGATTTATTATCTTTATCGTACACGGAATTAATCATCACAGACTGTAATCAAAAATCGTCTTTTGATCACGAATACATGAATTAAATGTCTCTCTTCAAGTGTAAAATATCAAGTATCATTTTAAGATACGTTGACTGTATTATACCTATTATGAAAATGGACACTGCATAAAGAAAACTGTCACACTATTGACGGACTTCCTCACGAAGAACCCTGAGTATAAAACGGTTTCTTGCAGTCAATGAAGATTGCTACTGCTACGCCAAAGTGTCCTAAAAATGTCCATGCTGAAGCTATAGCTAAGTCTGATCATGACGAGAAGTTATTTGTATTTTGACGTCTTGGTTATCAATAGTTTCTCCGGGAAACTTTTTCTGCGTACATGTAATTCCAATTTCAATCAATTTCCTCCAAGTCCCTAGAAACATTGCAACAACACGGATTTATTTGTGGTGAATAAACCAGTCTCTCTAAAACCTACAATGCAGATTTAACAAAACCCACGAGACAGGACTCTTAAAAGTTGATCATGAAAAAAAAGCCCAACAGAACTGACATGTTACCTTAATTGAATGGGGTTTTCTAGCACCCACGGTTGCTATAAGCATCAAAAGCTTACTAAGTACATCTACAAACGACGCACAATGGACCGTCACTACCTCAAATAATGTAATCTTTTAACTTGATTTTAGAAATTTCCCTCTTGGTACCTTATTGCTGTAAATTGTAAAATTAAAACCATACATTTCTCTTGGAATATATATTTATTTTAAATGTCATTCAAATGAATAATAGATACATCTCAAATAAATGAGTCTGAACATCTATTCCAATTTCAAATTATGTTGGTCCTTTTGAAAGCAAACTGTAATGTAGACAAGTTGCAGCTGGCGGTCATTATGAATATATGAACGTCATGTAGAAACAAATGGTTGTCCTCTTGGGGAATTACTTCCAGACGAAATAGACCGGCTACTTGTTATAACCGAGAATTCCTTGCTGGTAAACTGCCCAAAATGGCCTTTATTATGGAAATGGCAAGAAAATATGTTCATCTCTTGTGTATTATATTTGTTCGGGGGGGTGGGGGGGGTGAAAATAAGGCTCATTCAATTTCGAGCAAGACTTTTCAGTGATCTGATAAAGGCATCTGTTGTCTGAACGTGTACTGTGTTAGGTTTCAGGTCATTTTTCTATTTAAAATGCAATGTTGTTTGATATCTTGAAGGACGGCCAAATGATCCGACACTTGAGACGCCTTCCGGTTCTAAACTGTTGAAGAGAACACGTTATAGGACACAAATGAGTCTCACAGTGACTGTTTGGATGTTCGGCGGTTTTTTTATATGACTCTTCCATCCGTATCAAATATTAGAAACCAAACGTCTAATAAAAAAGGCATGAATTGCAGAACGAAAGGACTCCTTTCACAAAATGATCATGTTTCGTCGCAAGTAGCGTCAATATCTTCGGTTGACCTGTGGTGTCAACAATGACATGCGTACGAATATGAATCATTCATGAAACACAGCACATGGCATATGTGTCTAACAGAAACCGGTCTCGGTTGCAACGCATCATGAATGAAATCAAGAACAAAATATAGATAAATGTGTAGGGTTAAACGTATATAATAAGTGGGTATCATGTGTTACTTACTGAATCGTTATGTAGTTCTGCAGATACAGCACTGCCTTCAAGACCTAGTACCATACTATGTCGGTAACATAACATACAACCTTAGATCTACCCATACCTTTCTTGATTTGCGTCGTCAGGCAATAAAACCTTACTTTTTATGCATATTGTGTGAATGGCGGGTACTAACGGTAGGGCAGGACATGTTTACCCTTTTCGCAAACACATGGTGTCATCACTGATTTTCAGTGGTCCTTTCATATAATTTTTACAGCTATTTCGCTCTTTACACCAAATGGAATCGGTGTCTGTTGATCATGTAGACTGGTTATTCTCTTGCATCGACAATTTATATTTACGTACGATGAATAGTTCATGCAGTCCTGTATTAAACTGTGAAACCTTTTCTTAATTTAAATCCAGTTTAAGCATAGCATAATCTACAGTTCCACATTATTTATCATATGATCTACATTAAACATACACAATTGCACAGTAAAGTTCTAACTCTCAGGCCCAGTATAGTAATAATTAAATAAGTGGAGTAATTAATTAATTAGTTTTAATTGGCTGTGTTCTATCTTACTCCACTTATTTAATTATTACTATATATGAAACGTTGACTCCGAGCCGACAAGTCCTTGTTTTAACCGCTTAATACCGAGCACCAGGCAGGGTAACAATAAGTACCATCTTTTAACGTTTTTGGGTATGACGTGGCCCGACCTTCCGCTTTCCGGCCAGATGTTCTTCTCACTAGACCACGGAGGCGGCCCTTGTTACAAAGAAGTGAATAACAATATGATACTTATCCACATACATTTCTTCATCATCTATTCTATTTAAATGAAAGCATCACGCAGCCAACACATGCGAGAAATATGTAGTAATTATTAGTCGTTGCTGTTATATGGGTGTTCTTTTTGTTCTGGTGACTAGTCAATATTGCTGAGAGTAAAAACAACATGGATTCATGAACACACTGTCCTGGTAATTGGTGCTGTATCAATTCATGCACTTTCTCCGATGGCACAATGTATACTCCCATGTATTTAGACATGTGGTCTTAAGCATATAGTTCAGTCCAATTATGTTGTGATGATGCAACTATTGATATACGTTACCGATTTCTGTGACACCAATGTTCAGTCTTATCTTCCTTTTTTTGTTACACAAAGCGATCTTAATTAGCAATGATGCGTTAACAATCTCACAGTCGTACTTTAACATAGCACTACAGAACATTAAGGGAATAAAACAGCAATGAACGTACCAATAATAACTGGAGACGCCTAAATGCATGTTGGACGGTGATATTTCTCTCCCGCAGTGATTTTTCCGTTCCAGTAGAAACACCTCGAAAATGGGCTTTATGACTTGCCACAGCCGCATTAGGGTTTCTGACAGTATTTACCACATGGCAATATGTTCTTATCACAATATCCCACCCAGACAACTAAAGCCGGAAGCAAATTGCATCTTTCCGGTACTTTACCATTTCAAGTCTTTTCTATTGAAATTGACATAATGAATTTTATTGTAATCCTGAAAATCATGCCAGTGAATGTGCTTCCGGCATCCCTTTACGTCAATCATCGCCAATAACTGGGTAGCCAGAAAGGAATATTTGGAATGAAATAGACCCGTTAGACACATTATGTTTGTGCTTCTTATTTCCAAGTTGGCACATGTCTTGTTCCTTCCAAATATTGAGTTAAAATGGACCGATAGTTTTGTTCATTGGGCTATAAATCGGATTTCCGAATATTGCAGGAAGATAACGGGATTAGCAAAGACAAGGCGAAATGCACTGTTTCCACTTCGGAACATCATTGATTTGATTAAAACAAGATAACTTCCTCTCAGCTGACAGCAGTCTTAATCCTACTATGGAGCACCAGATTGTCCGTTTCATTCTAGAGTTGACATGTAATTTAGGGCTTTCTCACTTGCATTCAATCTGTTGATAACTTGTGAACAAATTTGTTGAAATCATTGCCAATGCGGATAAATCACGAAGAAAATGAAATAAAACGTTCACGTTCTAAATGTTACGTTTAGCATACAGCGACTGCGACCAGGCATCGGTTCAGGTCGCCTCGTTTGGGAATAACAACCTGGGCACCAGAGAAGATGGTTATTCATGGCGGCGGCTCTCAAGCTTTGCAGTGATATCCGGCGGTTCTTGTGAGGTGCTTCTGTATGTCTTGCCACTTCCATTTGCGTTAGCTAAAGATGAAATTACGACATCCCCTAGCCTATTCAGCATGGGCGTTTGGCAGTGTGGAAATATCTTAGCTTGGTATTGTACAAATCAATTCTTCTTGGACAGTATTTTTATATGAGCCTAAGATAAAGTCGATTAATGCAGATTTATCTTTTTCTGATACAATCGCTGCATGTGAAAGATATAGTTAGAGAAGCCTTCATATCTTATTGAGGCATGTTAACATTAAATATAATAACTCGTTAAGACATACAAGTAATGAAGTTTATTTCCAAGCGCATCCAAATTGCATGTTGTAAATTTACGCTCATGGTGTTATTCTGTGGTACATTGTAAGTTTATATTTATACTTGCCTACCGCAACGTAACATAGCCAAGGTCTTATCAGTTATATTTCGTATTTGTGGTTTACGAGTATCAACTTACGACTTGCACTCCAATGTGCAGAAAATAGAAGATATTCATGGTGTATTGTCCATGTGTGCTGACATATTATACCCTGTATACCCTGAAGAAACGTGTCATTAAATGCGCACGTTCTTCAGTCTGCACCTGAGGTAAACCATTATACATACATCCAAACGTTATTTACTCATCAGCAGTGCATACGTCACACTACTGCAATAATTGGTATCAAAGCGT